GTACTTGAAGAAATAATAGCTGAGAACTTCCCTGAAGTGGGGAAGGAAAAGGCATTGAAATCCAAGAGGCACAGAGAACTCCCTTCAGACGTAACTTGAATCGATCTTCTGCACGACATATCATAGTGAAACTGGCAAAATACAAGGATAAAGAGAAAATTCTGAAAGCAGCAAGGGGTAAACGTGCCCTCACATATAAAGGGAGACCTATAAGACTCGTGACTGATCTCTCTTTTGAAACTTGGCAGGCCAGAAAGAGTTGGCATGAGATTTTCAGTTTGCTAGACAGAAAAAATATGCAGCCGAGAATCCTTTATCCAGCAAGCCTGTCATTTAGAATAGAAGGAGAGATAAAGGTCTTCCCAAACAAACAAAAACTGAAGGAATTTGTCACCACTAAACCAGCCCTACAAGAGATCCTAAGGGGGACCCTGTGAGACAAAGTACCAGAGACATCACCACAAGCATAAAACATACAGACATCACAATGACTCTAAACCCGTATCTTTCTATAATAACACTGAATGTAAATGGATTAAATGCGCCAACCAAAAGACATAGGGTATCAGAATGGATAAAAAAACAAGACCCATCTATTTGCTGTCTACAAGAGACTCATTTTAGACCTGAGGACACCTTTAGATTGAGAGTGAGGGGATGGAGAACTATTTATCATGCTACTGGAAGCCAAAAGAAAGCTGGAGTAGCCATACTTATATCAGACAAACTAGACTTTAAATTAAAGGCTGTAACAAGAGATGAAGAAGGACATTATATAATAGTGACAGGGTCTGTCCATCAGGAAGAGCTAACAATTATAAATGTCTATGCGCCGAATACTGGAGCGCCCAAATATATAAAACAATTACTCATAAACACAAGCAACCTTATTGATAAGAATGTGGTCATTGCAGGGGACTTTAACACCCCACTTACAGAAATGGATAGATCATCTAGACACACGGTCAATAAAGAAACAAGGGCCCTGAATGAGACATTGGATCAGATGGACTTGACAGATATATTTAGAACTCTGCATCCCAAAGCAACAGAATATACTTTCTTCTCGAGTGCACATGGAACATTCTCCAAGATAGATCATATACTGGGTCACAAAACAGCCCTTCATAAGTTTACAAGAATTGAAATCATACCATGCATACTTTCAGACCACAGTGCTATGAAGCTTGAAATCAACCACAGAAAAAAGTCTGGAAAACCTCCAAAAACATGGAGGTTAAAGAACACCCTACTAACGAATGAGTGGGTCAACCAGGCAATTCGAGAAGAAATTAAAAAATATATGGAAACAAACGAAAATGAAAATACAACAATCCAAACGCTTTGGGACGCAGCGAAGGCAGTCCTGAGAGGCAAATACATTGCAATCCAGGCCTATCTCAAGAAACAAGAAAAATCCCAAATACAAAATCTAACAGCACACCTAAAGGAAATAGAAGCAGAACAGCAAAGGCAGCCTAAACCCAGCAGAAGAAGAGAAATAATAAAGATCAGAGCAGAAATAAACAATATAGAATCTAAAAAAACTGTAGAGCAGATCAACGAAACCAAGAGTTGGTTTTTTGAAAAAATAAACAAAACTGACAAACCTCTAGCCAGGCTTCTCAAAAAGAAACGGGAGATGACCCAAATAGATAAAATCATGAATGAAAATGGAATTATTACAACCAATCCCTCAGAGATACAAACAGTTATCAGGGAATACTATGAAAAATTATATGGCAACAAATTGGACAACCTGGAAGAAATGGACAAATTCCTGAACACCCACACTCTTCCAAAACTCAATCAGGAGGAAATAGAAAGCTTGAACAGACCCATCACCAGCGAAGAAATTGAATCGGTTATCAAAAATCTCCCAACAAATAAGAGTCCAGGACCAGATGGCTTCCCAGGGGAGTTCTACCAGACGTTTAAAGCAGAGATAATACCTATCCTTCTCAAGCTATTCCAAGAAATAGAAAGGGAAGGAAAACTTCCAGAATCATTCTATGAAGCCAGTATTACTTTGATTCCTAAACCAGACAGAGACCCAGTAAAAAAAGAGAACTACAGGCCAATATCCCTGATGAATACGGATGCCAAAATTCTCAATAAGATACTAGCAAATCGAATTCAACGGCATATAAAAAGAATTATTCACCATGATCAAGTGGGATTCATTCCTGGGATGCAGGCCTGGTTCAACATTCGCAAATCAATCAACGTGATACATCACATTAACACAAAAAAAGAGAAAAACCATATGATCCTGTCAATCGATGCAGAAAAGGCCTTTGACAAAATCCAGCACCCTTTCTTAATAAAAACCCTTGAGAAAGTCGGGATAGAAGGAACATACTTAAAGATCATAAAAGCCATTTATGAAAAGCCCACAGCTAACATCATCCTCAACGGGGAAAAACTGAGAGCTTTTTCCCTGAGATCAGGAACACGACAGGGATGCCCACTCTCACCGCTCTTGTTTAACATAGTGCTGGAAGTTCTAGCATCAGCAATCAGACAACAAAAGGAAATCAAAGGCATCAAAATTGGCAAAGATGAAGTCAAGCTTTCGCTTTTTGCAGATGACATGATATTATACATGGAAAATCCGACAGACTCCACCAAAAGTCTGCTAGAACTGATACATGAATTCAGCAAAGTTGCAGGATACAAAATCAATGTACAGAAATCAGTTGCATTCTTATACACTAACAATGAAGGAACAGAAAGACAAATAAGGAAACAGATCCCATTCACAATTGCACCAAGAAGCATAAAATACCTAGGAATAAATCTAACCAAAGATGTAAAGGATCTGTATGCTGAAAACTATAGAAAGCTTATGAAGGTAATTGAAGAAGATTTAAAGAAATGGAAAGACATTCCCTGCTCATGGATTGGAAGAATAAATATTGTCAAAATGTCAATACTACCCAAAGCTATCTACACATTCAATGCAATCCCAATCAAAATTGCCCCAGCATTCTTCTCGAAACTAGAACAAGCAATCCTAAAATTCATATGGAACCACAAAAGGCCCCGAATAGCCAAAGTAATTTTGAAGAAGACCAAAGCAGGAGGCATCACAATCCCAGACTTTAGCCTCTACTACAAAGCTGTCATCATCAAGACAGCATGGTATTGGCACAAAAACAGACACATAGACCAATGGAATAGAATAGAAACCCCAGAACCCACAAACGTATGGCCAACTCATCTTTGACAAAGCAGGAAAGAACATCCAATGGAAAAAAGACAGTCTCTTTAACAAATGGTGCTGGGAGAACTGGACAGCAACATGCAGAAGGTTGAAACTAGACCACTTTCTCACACCATTCACAAAAATAAACTCAAAATGGATCAAGGACCTGAATGTGAGACAGGAAACCATCAAAACCTTAGAGGAGAAAGCAGGAAAAGACCTCTCTGACCTCAGCCGTAGCAATCTCTTACTCGACACATCCCCAAAGGCAAGGGAATTAAAAGCAAAAGTGAATTACTGGGACCTTATGAAGATAAAAAGCTTCTGCACAGCAAAGGAAACCACCAACAAAACTAAAAGGCAACCAACGGAATGGGAAAAGATATTTGCAAATGACATATCGGACAAAGGGCTAGTCTCCAAAATCTATAAAGAGCTCACCAAACTCCACACACGAAAAGCAAATAACCCAGTGAAGAAATGGGCAGAAAACATGAATAGACACTTCTCTAAAGAAGACATCCGGATGGCCAACAGGCACATGAAAAGATGTTCAGCGTCGCTCCTTATCAGGGAAATACAAATCAAAACCACACTCAGATATCACCTCACGCCAGTCAGAGTGGCCAAAATGAACAAATCAGGAGACTCTAGATGCTGGCGAGGATGTGGAGAAACGGGAACCCTCTTGCACTGTTGGTGGGAATGCAAATTGGTGCAGCCACTCTGGAAAGCAGTGTGGAGGTTCCTCAGAAAATTAAAAATAGACCTACCCTATGACCCAGCAATAGCACTGCTAGGAATTTATCCAAGGGACACAGGAGTACTGATGCATAGGGGCACTTGTACCCCAATGTTCATAGCAGCACTCTCAACAATAGCCAAATTATGGAAAGAGCCTAAATGTCCATCAACTGATGAATGGATAAAGAAATTGTGGTTTATATACACTATGGAATACTACGTGGCAATGAGAAAAAATGAAATATGGCCTTTTGTAGCAACGTGGATGGAACTGGAGAGTGTGATGCTAAGTGAAATAAGCCATACAGAGAAAGACAGATACCATATGGTTTCACTCTTATGTGGATCCTGAGAAACTTCACAGGAACCCATGGGGGAGGGGAAGGAAAAAAAAAAAAAAAAGAGGTTAGAGTGGGAGAGAGCCAAAGCATAAGAGACTGTTGAGAACTGAGAGCAAACTGAGGGTTGATGGGGGGTGGGAGGGAGGAGAGGGTGGGTGATGGGTATTGAGGAGGGCACCTTTTGGGATGAGCACTGGGTGTTGTATGGAAACCAATTTGACAATAAATTTCATATATAAATAAAAAAAAATAAAATAAAACCACAACTCTGGGTGATTGGTCCCTTAAGATAATTACAATGTGCTTTTTTTTTTTCCCATTATAGAAATAGATACTAATTGTTTATCATAGAAAAATAGGAAAACATAGAAAAGCCAGAAAGATTGCACATATCCCTGTTTAAACTTCTGGTGTGCTTATCTCCAGATTTAGAAAGGCAATTCTATTTTTGTTTGCTTAGGTTTGCTACTTTAGGAAGGGTTATGAGAGATGATGTTATATTTGTCATTTCACATCTGGCTTTTTTGATGTAATGTCTTCACATAAACATTCCGACTTGAATATAAACTGTTGGTAAATATTTTGTGACTGACACCTAACTTTTTGTATCTCAAGTTTGCACTACCTCCTTTAATTTGCTGGCCCCTTCCCAAGGAAAAAGGCTGATACAAACAAAAGGTTCAGAGTATAATTTATCTCCCAATATTTCCTGCTCAACCAGAAATTCAAGTACCAGAAATTGCAGTAATCTCTCTGATTCTCTAGTTCCTCAGTTGGTAAGCCTATTTCTTGATGTGGTTCTGCAGATTAAATGAGATCATCTGCAGCAAATTCCTTTACATTCCCGAAGATGGTCCGCCCTGAAATCCGGTAAGTTTCCCTTGCTCCCCTGTAACCTCTGGGTATAAGAGTCACAGCCAGGTCAGTCCTGGGGGAGGCAGATCAGTAAATGAATGAGAGGCCGCCAAGATCTCCTACATCACATTCTCACTTGCCAGCTCAAAGCCTTGCTCAGAACTCCCTGGCTCATCAGAGCAACAGAACTGGAGCCACCTGACTTCCAAATTGGATTTCTCTTACCTGGTATGTAAATTTAAATGAAAATGAATTTATCAGTCATTCTGATATTCAGTTGAAAGCTTTATAAGGAAATTCTTAATAAGTATCTATTCTATTCTTTCTGGAATGACAAGTTATTTTGCACTTACACAGAATTTTTTGTTGGGGGTAGCAGAAAGCTGGGAACAAGTGGGTAGAGCATAGTATAATCCCAGAATAAACTGCTTCTTCTCTTTTCTCTCTCTCTCTCTCTCTCTCTCTCTCTCAGGCTCTGATCATTGTATTTCCACTAGTGATAGGAAATTATGCAATGGTCTGTTCTGCGCCAGCCGCAGGAGAGACTGGGTCTGGGGAATCCCAGGTTGAAAGTGAAAAGGGCAATTGATCAAGTCATTTCTGGCTTATTCCAGGCCCTGTGCCAGCTTCTCCGTTTGGGAGATTGATGGTCAAGGCAAACAGCAGGCAGTACATCCTAGCCTATTGCCCTGGGATTGGCCAGGAATCTAGGAATCCAGGATAGAAATAGAAAGGCAGCCATTGTGCCACTATTGTGCCTCCTGGGCAGGCCTGGTTATCTTAGAAGACAAATAACTTGTTTCTGGTAGCCTGTGGGTAACTATTACTCTTCCAGAGAAGTGCTCAAGGAAAGCCTTCCTTTGCCTGGCCGCCAGCCCTCCCCCAACCCCCAGGAATCTGAAGCATCTGGAGGAACTGACCTTAGAAGGCCTTACCACATCTCTCTGGGCTTGTTTTCTTACCACTAAAAAGAAGATTAGCCTTGGACTCTTTTACCTTAACTCTTATAGTTTCATGGAACAAATTGTTAAAATGGCTACCTTAAGAACAGGGGGTGGTTAATATGCAGCCAGAGAGGTTCTGGAGTTAAAAGTCAAGAATGCAGGGCAACTTCAGGGCCACCTTGACCACCCTGGGAGTGCCACTTCCATCCCTGTGGCGGCTCCAGGCTCTTCTCTCTCCTTCCAGCTTCCTTGGCTTTCACCCAGCTTTTCTGCTCCCAGATAACTCCTGCTTGCACATGGCTTTCAGTTATCTTGGCCCTGATTCCAGCTCACCACATCGTTTTGCTGTGAACTCCACTACCTGCTGGTTAGTTCCATGTGTCTCTTCATTCATAGTCCCAAGGCAAGGACTTTGATTGACTCAGTGTTTGGGGATTGAACTGTGTCCCCCAAAAGGATATACTCAGGTCCTAACCCCAGTACTTGTGAATGTCCCCTTATTTGGAAATAGGATCTTTGCAGATATAATCAAGTTAAGAGGTCATACTGATTATGGTGGGCCCTAAATCCAGTATGACTGGGGTCCTTACAAGAACAGGTCATATTTGGACACAGGAAAAAAAGGCAGACAGGGGGAACACCATGTGACAACAGAGGCAGGGACCAGAGTGATGCATCTAGAAGCCAAAGGAGCAAGGGTTGTTGGCAACCATCAGAAATTACAAGAGGCAAGGGAGGAATCTTCCCTACAGCCTTTGGAGTTTGATTTCAGACATCCAGCGTCAGAACAGCAAGAGAATAACCACCTATTATTTTAAGAAACTCAGTTTATGGTAAGTTGTTAAAGAAGCCGTAGGATATGAATACATTCAGCCTATCTTTTGGTGCCAGGCCAACCTCCGAATGTGGCCACCTTAGATGGGATGGGATGCTCAGTCTTTGCCCAATCAACCATGGCCAAGAGAGTCAGGGTGATGTCATCCGATTGTGGCTATGTAGGCACCAAGGCTGTAGACTGAGCAGCATCCTGTAGAAGGAGGCCTGAGCCTGGATAGGTGTTTGCTGGTGTGACCTCTCCAACACCAACCAGGTGGCTTTTAAATTAACTCTGCTAGAAAGGACTTTAGAAAAAGTCACACACTGCCCAGGCTAGTCCCACCCAAGGAATATTTTTGTTATTGTCTTTGTTTATCAGAGCAGTATTTTTTATATAAATTATTTTCCCACTTACATTTCCCAAGGGATAGTTTCTTCAAACAGAAGGTATATTGATTCCTGTTGAGACCTGCTCTTATTCCTAGGTGAGCCCAGTGGCAGTGCTGCTCACACTGGCCAGCATCGAGGCAGAACTGTTCTAGGCTGACCTTGAAGGCATGTTTAGCTGGCATAGCCAGAGGTAGTTACTGTCTTAAGGAGAACTAATGGTCTTACCCAGATAATTGAATAGCGCCAACAGTCATGTCAAGTGAGGTAGAGGAAAGAAAGAAGAAATGTCCATGGCCTAAGGGCTTGAAAGTTTGATGGATCCAGGTGACAAGAATGAGGAAGAAAGCAATTTAAAGCCAAGACCATGAATGAGTGTGTGCAGGATTTTCTCTTTCCTGCCCAAACAGCATGTACTTCTAAGGTGGATGTGCTCTTAGCACAGAGTAGACAGACTAAGACTCTCCATTCCTAACAAATGCTTTGTTGTGTGTGAAATTAATGTTTGCCTTAATGAATAAATCATTTTGACATGATTCTATATTTATGATGATAGCCCTGAATATTTGTTCAAAAAATTTGATTCTTAATTTGGGAACATTATCAGAGACTAAATTGCTGACAGAGTTGACTAGAGCTTAGCTTTGCCACTTACCTAGATATGATCTGCTTTCTTGTGTGCTGTATGTAACTTGTTTTCATGAATGTGAAAGTTATACCTATGCACTGCAGAGATTTAGGATGGAAACTTATTTTTAAATATTTTTTTTAATGTTTTTTAAATTTATTTTTGAGAGAGACAGAGACAGAATGCGAGTGGATTAGGGGCAGAGAGAGAGGGAGACACAGAATCTGAAGCAGGCTCCAGGCTCCAAGCTATCAGCACAGAGCCCGATGCGGGGCTCAAACCCATGAGCTGTGAGATCATGACCTGAGCTGAAGTTGGAAGCTCAACCGACTGAGCCACCCAGGCACCCCAGGAAACTTATTTTTAAAAATGTTTAAGGTCTGATGCTGGACGTGGTTTAGAAATGGTTCTTCCAATCAGATCTCTGCTTATGGTCAATCCCTGTTAATGCTTTTCTCTCTTTCCACTCCCTGAAACTCTAGTTTTGCTCAAACCTTAGTATGTCACCCCTCCAGGGAAGCACTATTTTTACTCATCCTACTTACTCTGTTAAAACAACTCTTAGCAAAATCTGCCAACTTGTAGGAATATCTTACATTGTCTTTGCATACCTTTTATGAGGAGCCTTGGGAAAGATCCCCATATAGAGTTGAAGACCCCTTGACCCTACTTTCGGCCATGCTTCCTTTTCTCTGGGAGATAGGTGGCATTAGCAGACTTTCATTATTGTCTCTGGTTCTTAAGGTAGAAGATCAGTGTAGCACCTGTTAGACATAATTGTATTTCTGCAAAAGACAGGAGATGTCAAGCTGCAAATTTCCTATCAAAACTCCCTCTTTGTTTAGAAATAGTCCTTGCTTGTTTTTAATGTTTTCATTTAAAAAAAAAAAAAAGAATGAACGCTGTCTATATAATGCCTTATGTAAGGCAAGAGATTTATATTATTGTGCTGGGGAAAATAATGAGAGGTTTGTAGCATCTTTTACTCCAATCTTTATTTCCAGTCATTTGCCTTGACAGAGGCATAGTGGACAACTGGAGCACATGGGGTTATGAAATTCCATTGGCCTTGAGCCCCTTGTATGAGCCCACATGTAGGCTCCTGCCCATCAGTGTTTTGACTGTGATTTTGCCTCCAGGCTATAAACCTGAAGGTGGTGGTAATGGTAGGTGTTCTTTTCCTATGTGTTTCTACCACTGAACCCACGGTAGTCACCCTGTCCCCTCCACAGGCTTGGCACCCTATGCTAGTCAGCTCTTGGGATGGCTACAACTGTCTCCTCTGAGAGCTCCTGAGGTTATTGCCCCACCTGACCAATGAGTCCTTTTGATCAAGGTCCTTTCTTGTCTTCCATTAATGTGGTAACACCATACTCTCCTGGGTTGATCAGGTAAGTGAAGGACATTTTTGTATGAATGCGACTGCCCTTCCAGCTTTGCCCACAGGTCCTTCTTCTCTTCTACTTGTTGGTGGTAGTGTATGGAAGGAAATGGTGAAGTGAACACTGAAAGTGATCATGTTCTAGAAATACAGTGAGCACAGCCTAAAAAGTTCAAGAGAAGACATGGTTGGAAGACCTGTTGTTCTACATTTATGTTGTAAAATTACAAATGATAAACTTAACATGACCAGAAAATGAGGTATCATTCACATTTTCCCTCATACTCTGGGTGAGACTTGCATTTGTGGTTATCATCAACAAAGCATGATAACAACCTTTGAGAGAGCCATTGAAAAACAGTATTCATGGACAGCATGATGGATGATGCTACATTATGAATAATGATGCAAACATCATTAAATCAGTGGTATCAGGGAAGTACAAAGGCAAGAATAGCTATATTGTTTCAATACCAAGAGGTTCTGAAGAGCCATAGCATTGTAAGAATTTGGCCAAGAAAGGTGCATTTGACAGTAAAAAGCACAAAGAGACGGTTCCTGGGTCTGAGCAGGGAGAGATATTACAAAGAATCTTCATGTGCACTGATTGGATAACAAATGGATAAATACTTCTCTACCATTATTCTAAATCTTCACTGATAGATTAATAATGATATGTTACATGGATGCATTAATTTTGTGAGACATTTTTCAATTCAATTGCTTATGTAGACAGACCTTGCAGAAAATGTCCCACACTCTACCTTTACCCTATCTTCACTCATCTTTCTTGGAAGAAAGAGGTGAAACTTCTTTGTAAGAAGTTTCTTTGTAAGAATAAGTCTTTGGTCTATGCCCT